CTTGGCTGGAGCTCCAGCCCTGGAGCAGGGTGCCAGGCAGGCTCTGAGCCATCCCAGGCTCCTTGCAAAGTGCCCAGCCAGCCTCCCGTGCCAGCACAGACACAGCACAGCACGCGGGGATTTGGGTCAGCTTTCTTGGTGGCAGCCAGCTCAGGTGTCCTACAGGGGAGGGAAGGTCTTAAAAGCCACCAGAGTCACCTCCCCTGMGGGTTTTCCTGGGTGTGGGACCCCTGAGGATATGTGCACGGATTTCAGGGCACTCGTGGGGCGCGGGTCTGTCTCACCGAGCTCCACGTGGGAACAGAGAGGGGGACAGGGACTGTCACACCCACAGCCAGGTACCCACGGTCCAGCCACAGTGCCCCTTGCCTGGCTCAGACCCCAGCATGTGTGCAGGGACACCTGGACACACAGAAATGTCCCTGTCTGTGCACACACATCCCACTGGTGCAGGGACACCTGGACATGCAGAAATGTCCCTGGCAATGGAGAACTGTGTCCCTGGACACACAGAACTGTGTCCCTGACCACACACACACACATCCCATTGATGCAGGGACACCTGGACACACAGAACTGTCACGGGCCATACAGAATTGTGTCCCTGGCCATGCACACACATCCCATTGATGCAGTGACACCTGGACACAGAAATGTCCCTGGCCATATAGAATTGTGTCCCTGGCCACACAGACACATCCCATGGGTGCAGGGACACCTGGACACAGAAATGTCCCTGGCTATATAGAATTGTGTCCCTGGCCACGCACACACACATCCCATTGATGTAGGGACACCTGGACACAGAAATGTCCCTGGCCATATAGAATTGTGTCCCTGGCCACGCACACACATCCCACGGGTGCAGGAGCATCTGGCCATGCACACACCCCTCACACTCGTGCAGGAGAACCTGGACGTGCACAATTGTGTCCCTGGCCATGCAGAACCCTGTCCCTGTCTGTGCACACACATCCCACTGGTGTAGGGACACCTGCACACGCAGAACTGTGTCCCTGGACATGCAGAGCTGTGTTCTTATCCATGCACACACATTCATGCACACACATCCCACTGGTGCAGGAGCATCTGGCCATGCAGAATCCTGTCCTTGGCCATGCAGAATTGTGTCCCTAGCCATGCACACACATTCCACTCATGCAGGAGCACCTGGACACGCAGAATTGTGTTCCTGTCCATGCAGAATCCTGTCCCTGGCCATGCAGAATTGTGTTCCTGTCCATGCAGAATCCTGTCCCTGGCCATGCAGAATTGTGTCCCTGGCCATGCACACACACCCCACACTCGTGCAGGGACTCCTGGCCGTGCAGGACCGTGTCCCCCGTGCAGGTCAGGCAGTCACAGGCAGGTCAGGCAGACACACAAACCACGCAGGCACAACC